GGAGGAGAGAGGGATCACCTCACCAGCTGGATTCAGGGGGACTGTAAGAGAGGCCAGTATCCCAGAGTGGAATTCAGCCAGGGCACCTGGATTCACACCCCTACCCAAACAGAATCAGGGGCTGTTTAATGACCCGCCCTCACAGTCCTGAGAGCCGTAAATCCTTTAACTGAAACTTGCACCCGACATGATTATTAAAAAAACAACAACACATTGAGGCAACAGCTGCAAAAAAAAGTTTTTATTCCTAGCTGGTAAAGAACACAAGTTTTTAACAACATGACATCATTTATAAGGAATGAAATCACATTTTAAAGGATACAACAGTCATCAGAAAATCATCTGCTTAAATGAGAGAGAGATTTAAAAAACGCAGTCCCTCTCTGTAGTGTGCGTTCTGGGTGGGTGAGTTTTGTTCTTCCGAGGGGTGATCGCTGCCCCTCCCAATAGCTTTGGGAGCATTTATTGGTATTAAAAGATGATTCAACCTCGCATTGTAAAAGAGCACAATTTGTAAAAGCGATCTGGAGGAGCAAAGAAGTTTTGAATTCACATCAACAAGAAAATCAGTCAATATTCTCCAATGTGTGGCACCGAGGTAAGGCCACTGCATCGTGGAAGGAAAACATTCCTCTAACGGACTTGGACAGAACAAGTTAAGGAAAAAACAACAACATTCTTTTACCATAGCCATGTTTAAAATACTACATTTTTCATCAGAACTGGACTAATAAAAATCAACAAGAAGAATTAAAATACCAGAAAGCTGTGTTTTGCAGCCAGCATCCCTCTTCTAGAGTTCATAACGGAATGCTCTTTTGTAAAGGGCCACATGAGCGAGATTCACGGTTAACTCAACAGCACTGGTCGCAAGCCAGAAAAGCTTTTGGAAGGCCTTGTACTTGTGTTTGTTCTGGCTAGCAGTTTGGCATTTTAAATTTGAAGAGTGTTTTTGTTTTTCTCGGCTGTGTACCCTTTTATGCGACGTGGTCACCAGACCAGCACCCTAAGGAGCTGGGCTTGGGGGTGGGAGCACGTTTCTGAGAGGGCACGCCCCCCCCCCCCCCACACACACTGCACGCGATCCCCAGTGCGGCGGGCGTGGGCGAGACTGGGCCGAGCCTTTAACTCCAATCGCACACCGAAGGATCCCTCCCCTCTCCGTGCAGCAACGGAACCTGCCTACAGCTGCTCACGATCTCCTCACACGATTTCCCCCTTAAACGAGCTCGATGACCGCGGTCATCTAGGTACCTGAAGCAGTATCAATAGGAGAGCCGCTGCGGTCGCTGGCGGAAGCAGCCGCGATCCACGCTTGACCAGAAGGACGTGTCCGAGGCGTGAGAAGCAGGAGCCCGACTGCCTTTGTCCACCCTCCTTTCCCACTGTGTTACCCCCTCCCCCCTCCCACACTGCCTGGGAGAACAGTGAGAAATCTTCACACCCGCATGGAGGACGTTGTGCTATTCATGCATTTTCCCTAGGCTGACCTTGAAGACCTGACCTCTTCTCCTTGGAAGACATAAGCTGTGTGACAAACCTACTACTGAACTGTGAGCCAGATAAGTCAGGCTCACCAAGATGTAATTAAGACTGCAATATACTCTAACCCTGTCGGGCCAGGTCTACTCACAGCTTTCACTCAGTTTGCACATGGGACCTAGAGAACTTTGGGGCAAATGGCTTCCTCTGCCACATGGCAAAGCTCAAGCATGTTACTGCCCCTCCTGCAGTAACAAAGGGCGTGGTGATGCTCTTCCTGTTTTCATGCCAAAGCGTGGATCATTCAGCTTTGCGCTGCAGTTTTCAGCTCGCCTTCAAATGAACGATCTGGGGAGCCTTTCCCCTGTTGAGTTGAGAGGTAATGTGACCCCACTCGTGGAAACAACCCCCAAATTTCAAAAGCTTAATGCATAAGGTTTTTTTTTGCTTATTCACAATCACAAAGCTTCACATAACCCTCTATGGTACAATGTACATCTCTTCCTGTGGAATCTAGGTGTAATGTGTTATCTCTTGCAACTGGTTTCTTTGAATACAAAAATCTGAAAAATAAACTGTAGCTTAGACTGGTGTTGCACTCCTGTTATGCCACACACACACTGTCGCTTTTAATATGCACTTGTCAATATACATGGAACCACACAGTATACATTTTCACAAGTAGAACAAAAAATATCAAGTAAAAAGTATCTAAAAAAACATTATAAAAACAGATGCCACTGATATTGTTTTTCTTTGCGAGGGTTTTCCTTAAAACGTTTCATGCTTTTGGCAAACCTTGATTAAAATACAACTTGTTTGTGTGCGTTAAGTAACCAGGACAGCCCATCTTAAAATGCAGGGAGGAGTATCGGCTTGCATTTATCTGTTTCTCTGCTCCAACGCCCGAGTCTTCATCATGTTTTTCATCATGGCTGTATTGCGTGAAACCCTGGCTCTTTTTCAGATGCTACCTCTAAATAAAGTTAACAGGTCTCAGGTTTTCAAAACCACTGGATACCTGTTTTTTGTTCTCTGCCTCTGCAGTAATGTCTGCGTACTCAGGCTCAAGAACAGTGAGAGCAGATCTCTCATTGCAGCAATGCTGGTCACTGAGGGATCTGGAGCACTGAGGTCGGGAAGCAGAGCACCCGGAGTCACCTCCTTCCCCGGTCTTAAGTACAGTTATTTGTCACTAACAAGGCTGCTCAATGTGACAGCGCTAAAAGAAACATTCAGGATGATCATACAGTACCTAGTCCCTCTCTGACTACATGCCCCACTGTGACGTTCTCAACACCAAAACGCTACAGCATTCACAAAAGGTCTTCCGACACCAAGCATGTTGCCTAGAAAGTGTAAAATGCATTTGTTACAGATTTCTCTCGTGCGCTGAAATCATTTTGTGGCTGCTGCGTCATATTAATAGGAGTCTGATTATTGTATGAGCAGCTTTGTTAGTGACATATATGCGTCTGTATGCTACATATACACACACATATATAAACATGCATTCAGAACGGAGAGGTATGTCTCCAGGTGCTGGCTTTTGTACTTGACGACCACATGATTCCTGACTGGTTTTCGCGCAATGTTCACATGCATGCTGGTTTGCAGAGAAATTGTATGGCTTAGCTGATGTAAGCCACACTGGACTGAGGTCAATTCAGTTAGCACCAGCATAAAAGTAGCACCAGCATAAAAGTAGGAATACATTCGATTTTGGACAGCATTTTAAAATACAGGACTGAAGTGCCTGTACACTATCGCCTGTTTTGTTTAGCGGTGCACCTCGACAAATATCCTGAGACGAAGGGGCGCCGTGCTCTGGATTCTCCCCTTTCAGCTCTAGTGTGGGCTCTGGCAGGTGGATGTCCTGTCTTAGCGTGACATCACTGAGGGTAAACCATCTGCTGGGGACACAACTGGACAACACGGGGCTGCTGGGCAGAAACTGAACGCTGATGCCGACGGCCGGCCGGTGGGTTAGCGCTTTGTCGAGCTGTCTGAGGTGTCGGGGCGGGGCGGGTTGGGGGGGATGGGCTGCCCAGGCGACATCCAATCTCTTGGCTGGACTGTCGTGTGGGGGGAGGGGGGGCGGCGTGGCCAGTTCAGGTCAGAGGTGAAATGGGCCCCGCCTCCAGTTCATGAGTCAAAGGGTCTGGCGGGCGGGACAGTAAGTCGCTCATCAGGGCTGTGAAGAGCCGTGGGAAAACAGAGAGGATGAGCGAATAAGACTTCGAACCCCAGCATATTAAAACAGGCAGTGCCACATCTATCACAGAGCCAACAGGAGAGGATACTGTGTCTTGCATATTAGCTGTGCATGCGCCCCTTTGAGGCAGATGTTGGTGTGCTCGTATTCTCTCCATGATAAAGGCTGGTTACTTTGATGTGAAAGGGCTCTGTAACTAATCTTAAAGTTCTGGTGTAACATTAATATGTCAGAATACCACCCTGGTTCTTGTAGTACAATTTCACTCTTCAGTGAGATGTTCTTAACAAAAAAGACTTTCAGTGCCTTTTGTAGAGGATAAAAAGGATGAACTGCATCCCTTCCATTGAAATCACTCCCACCCCCCACATATCCTCTACATGAGACATACTGGGAACCGTTCTGATGGCGATATCGGCAAGGCTACTGTATGTTATCTGTTGGCGTTATTTGGCACAAAGACGTAAGATTCAGTGAACCCTAAATGAGGCCGATGACAAAGTTCTTGCCAAGACAGATTATGCACTTGACTAGCTGCTGCATCATCTCATTTCCATCTCAAGCGCCGGCGCTCCCAACAAGCTCCGAGAGCACCCAGCCCTCTCGGTGAACACGGCTCTGCCGTACCTGCCGAGTTGCACAGCCCCCTCTCCCCTCCTACTAGCGGGTCATCGGTATTCAGGAGGCTCTTGGCGAGCCTGAGCTGCTCCAGCTCGTCAGTGCTGTCTCCGTCCACAAGAGAGCCCTGGAATGCCAACACGCACCTGTCAGACTACTCTACCGTCTTCGTCCAAATGACAGCAGACACTTTCCCACCCTTTATGTTTTGCCTTGCAGTAAAAATGCGTTGATATATTTTTATCATGTTCATTTCCTACCTAACCGGCCTACACATAGCTTCTGCAGTATAAAACAGGAATAAAAAACAATAGTCAACTTATTACAAGGATATACGAAAAATCGTTAGTTCATTCACGTCCCTGGGGGCCCCCCCGACTAACTGGCCTGAATCTGCCCCACATGCAGTGCCCCTTCTCACCAGCAGGACGTCATGCAGGAGCACCTCTTCCTGTCTCTTCCTTTTGTCTGGGGACGACTCCTTCAAAGGCAAGTCTTCATCCATCTTCAAGGTTCTGCGGGGGCACACCCGCACGAAAGATATGAGAAAGAGAGATACTCCGCTTACTCTGTGGGAATCGCAGGTGTGGTCAGGCTGGATGCCCAGCAGATATACGCTGTATGTGGCCAGGCTGGTGAAGGATCTACTGGATTGTGATCTGCTGTACTGTAAAACGACGACTGTGAGCATGGGAACCAAGTCCCAGGCTGTGTACTTCTGCAGCTAAGTAACAAAATCTGGCTAGGACTGGACAGCGATATTCTGAACAGCATGTGGAACCTCACAAAATACCGTAGTTAACTCATTTTGTCCTCGGCATTGCCCTGGGTGATGCACGGGCACAAAAACACGTTTGTGTCTGTTCGGCTTTTTGGGGCATCTCCAAACTAGGAAGCAGACAGGCCCCAGTCATTAAAAGGCAGCTCCTTGGGGAAGTCAACGAAGAGCCACACGTGCGAGTTGCAGCATTTCAAGATGAGGTGATATACATGTACCCTGATGAGTGCGGCCGCGGCCCTGCTGGAGCAGCTGTGGCAGGGAGGCCAGTGGGGGGGGGCGGGTTGTGTGCGGTTTCAAGAGAGTGAAAAACTACCGTTTCCTGGCACCAGGGGCAGCTGGCTCCAGGGTGGGGGGCTCAGACTCTGGGAGCTGGGCCAGGAAGGTCAGCTGGAAGTCGTCATCCATGGAGATGTAAGGGGCCAGCATGTCCAGATCGAGGGCCTCATACCCCTGTGAAAACACAATATTAGTGTGCTAGGAAAGAACAAAACAAACACACTATTAGGTACTAGAAATCTCATCTTCTCTCTGCCAGGCTGATCCTAAAGATCAGAATTGGATTTGGCCCTGGCAGTTCTTTCTTCTTTTAACTCATCCAAACCTTCAAGGCCACATTGGCAAGAGTGTTGCAAGACAAATACAAGTTCGATCCTCTTCGCGTCTCAATTTTGCAGCATTTCTGCAAGGTTAAGAACCGAAAATGAAGAGCATGACTTCAGGGGGAAGAGAGGCGTGTGATATTGCAAAGCCACTCATCACATCCCAGGTCATCACTGTGCTGAAACACACACACCACACTGGGCTCATAAGACACTAACACGCTCCCTGCAAGTTTTAGGACGTGGGCTTTTCACCCAGCTTTTTTTAAAAGTTACAACCCACTGCCCCCCAAAAAATACCCTGCATCAACCCTCGGATGTCGGCTTTGCACACATACCTCTTTGGCAGCGGTGGGTTTGGCGTCATCGTCCTTACGGACAGCAAAAAACTTCTCCACCGAGTCCGTGTCCATCGGCGACTCGTCTCCAGAACTCTGAAACACAAAGGGGGTTGAGCAGGAGCTGAGCCACTGATCTCCCTTTAATTATTCAACGGAAAGAAAAAGCAATATATATACACATCACTGCACCAGTAAACGGCTTCGGAAAGTCATTTGCCATTTCGGGGGAATCCTTTGCAGAGCTTCCCGTCGGGATCGCCTGACAGAATCGGAAGCGAACCCCTGCTTCC